AATATGTACAATATTTAAACAAAATTCTAAATTATTTGCCAGGAGAATTGTAATCTTACTATAGCATAGATCATGCAACTTATAAAGGGGTTGATAAGTCTGACGACGATATTTACATAAATTTTTCAGTTAGTATTTTAAATAATATTCGTGAAGGTTTGACACCTCATGAGTTCAATTTAAAAAAGTTTTTGTTCTAAAGATAACTTTTAATACTGCAAATACATCTTCATTACCCTTCATTCTGTACAGAAAGATGTTTCCTTGCCAAAATTTCAACAAAGTTGGGTAATATTTAAAAAAAATGTATTCTTGTATGGTCAAATGTATGTTGCTTTATCAAGATACAAAAGTAAATATGGATTATCTATTTAAATTGATCGTGATGATAAATAAAAAATAGAAAATATAGTTTGGGAGAAAATTTTTTTCATTTCATTTAATTGTATTTAATAAAAAAATTTTACTGATTTATTTTATCTTTAAGTTTAACTAACAATATTATCAATATTAATATGTAAAATAAAAAATTCCTTTTTAAACTAAAAATTTCATACTCATAATTAAGTATTTTATGAAGAGTGGTGTTGGCTCAGTGGTAAGCGTGCTTTTTACTGATACAACGCTATTCTAGGGGTCGTGGGTTCGATTGCCGGTGAATGCAGATTTTTTTCAAAAACTGTTTTCATCAAGAAAAGTTCCTATGTAACCCCGGCTGTTTCGGGGCGGGTTTTTCCGAGGAATTTCCTTTCAGAGTAATTTCAGCGTTTTTTCCTTGCCTCACAGATCTTCAGGCCTGGGTGAATGCGAAACAGTGTTAGGGATATAGATAGGGATTAGCGGATCCGATGCCAGGCACCGGCGAGGAATGGTCCCTGGAACGTGAGGATTCTCCGGGGATGTTAATTAGCCAGGATCCGATGCTTCGGCATAGAGCGCCGGCTTAACCAGCAAGGAGTGGACGTCCTGGAATATTGTGGAGTCCACTCCGGGAAAGGCTACACAGTGGCGAGTAGACCCGATGCATCGTTGGTGTAGAGAGTGTCAGCTTAACTGGCAAGGTATTCCACCGGAGATACACTTTGCCCATGGATTCAGGTATGGTATCAGTAGAAAGGGTTAGAAATGAATGCGGCAATATACACCGCCCACACATAGGCGGTCAGTGGGTGGACCCAGCGACTAGGCTAGTAGGCTGTCGTGGTAACCCAGTAAAAAAAAAAAANAAAGTATTTTATGCCAGTACATAAACTCCTTGTAAAAAATTGTAAAAAATTAAGTTAACTTTACTGAATTATTTAGATTGTCTTTTTATGAAAAATAAGGCGAGAACCACGTTTTAGATATTCGACTGATTTATTAATTGTATATTGCATTAGTATATTTTTATCATGTCATTAAATTCTACTTTCTCAACAATATGATTAATAAACTTAATGAAAATATAATTAAAAAAAAAACTAACGCACCGTTAGCAATACCTCGTAGATGGTGTGGAAATTTGCTCATCTTATCATGTAGGGGGGGCTGTTGGGGCATTTCTAAAAACTGGGAGAACGTTGTGGGGTCGATTGGAAATTTCAAGCCAATTGAAATAACGGAGATGTACAATGAATTTTACTTTATTTTGAGGGGGGCCAGTCGGGTGTGTGAGTGGGGGGAGGCAAAAATCGTGAAGGGGAGCAGTGGGTGAATGAATGATTAGTCATGGTCAAATTATTGGAGAAAACGAAAGAATCATATCTTAAAGTGTGGGGGTCAAAGGGAGACTGCGGGGGGCCTGTTGGGGGTCATTGTGGGGATGGGGATGTCATCACACAACCCAACAAAATCACAATATAATTTTATTCTCCTGCATTGTCCCAAAATTTTTTTTCTGACTTAAGCCGTTTTTGAGGGTTGGGTGTGCCCTCGGTAGGAAAAATAGGATTCGCCACATAAGTGCCATCGTTCCGCAACTACCTTACGTCCCTCAGGCCGCAAAGTAGCCCCAGAGATGATAGCACAGCTCGAGCGAAGTAGATATAAAAACACTGTTGTGATGTCGTAAGCGCTTAAATACTTATATATCTTAACAGTTCAAGCATTTTCTCGCAGTTGGTCTAAGAGCCACGTAAGGTCTTGTAACCCGTTTAACTAAGATGGACCTACCAAAGTTTTTTTAATTTTATTTAATCCTGTTGAGCACGATTTCATATGGTGGATCACTGTCCAACTAGTCAATTTTTCGCTATCACCAACTTCCGTTAATAAATAAAAAATATTGTTTTTTTTTCAATCAACAAAAATTTTTCTTTATTCTTTGGCTTATTATGAGCATAAAGTTATACGTAAGGTATATTCGTAAAATTTATATTTTTTTCGCAAATAATTGAAAATTTATCTAATAAAAGAAATGATGAGTACATCTTATGGGCTGTACGCAATACAATATAGTACCTTTTAGCATAAAAGTTTATTTACTTGATCAGATCCTCCAAGATTGCTTCAACGTTTCCGCCTGAAATGTCGAGTAAGTTATAGATATTTTATTTACATGAAATTAATAAATTTGTTTAACTGAGATAATTGAATATTGTGGTACCCTTATTGTTTTTGTTTTGTCAGTTTTTGCTATCGTAAGTATTTTTACATGTGTTTTCGTGAAAAGCATAAATTTGACGAATGTACTTAATACAAAACTTTTTGTTTAAAACGAGGCAAAGAATCATGGACAATTTTTTATTAGCATTAATCATAAGCTTCATATCATCATATGACACACGATGTGAGATATACATGGGCTCTCTCAACTCGTACACCCTGAAACTCTCAGCATGCCTGTAATTCATATACGCGAGCATAACCGTAAGTATTTTTACATGTATTTTCACGAAAAGCATAAGTTTTACGAATATACTTCATACAAAACTTTTTGTTTAAAATGAGGCAAACAATCAGGAAAACTTCTTTGTTTGTCAAAAAACGAATAACTTTAATTTGTTAACAATATTTGTTGATAATAAAAAATTGATCACTTGGATAGCAACCTACCATTAAAAATTGGGTTCAGTTGGCTAAAATATAATTAAAAAACTTTGGTAGGTCCATTGTAATTAAATAGGTAACAAGACCCTACCTGGCCTCAGACTTAGTTCCAAATGACGCCCTTTAACTACCACCATATTTAACTATAGGTATATAGAACCGTTATGGTGTTACAGAATAGAGTTGCAGCTTGGCCGATCAGCAAAGTTAAACTTCTTTTAGCCAGATTAGTTAGTACTTGGATGAGTGACTGTGCCAGTCTCACCGCTTGCCTTTGCTCCTGATTTTCCTGATCAATTAGCTGTTTCTCATCTGTCATAAACAAAAGATGTGCTGGAGTTAATTTTGGTGCTTATACATAGATACCCAGTCAGGACTCAGGTAAAATACACCGGTTTTCCCCGATCTCATCTCATCCTTTTTCTTTTCCTATTTCCAAGTGCTGAGTGCCATAAAAGAAAAGACGTAAGGCACTTTCATACAAAAAACGTTTTTAATATAGATTTAAATGCCTATGATTTTATAACATTGTCTTCTAAGGTAGTTCTATTCCACTTATAGTAACGTAGCACACTCTATGGTTTGATACATCGTCATCTCTCTCCCTCTCACACTTGTGTGAAAACATAACGAAAATTTATCTACGTTATAAAATAGTTCAGCTTTCCCTACCATGCGAATAGAAGCTGTGAAATCATGTGGAACATAAGTAAAATAAATAATTTGTAAACTTGTTCTAGTACTGACAAGGTTTTTTTGTTTACCTACATTAAGCTTGTTTAACTGGCGACCAGAAAGTGCTCTTTTTTTACACTTATCAAGGGGGATACCCCATACATCCAAGCTAACTTTGATAGCGTTGATACTTATATTTTACACGAACACTCACATGTCCTTTTTAAGCATTAAAAAATATTTATTCTTAGTTTTATCCAGAAAAGGCTGCTTTTACGATATAAAGAGTTTTATGAGCTCAGAGAATTGTTAAAATTTTGTACAAAACTATATTTACATAAGTTGAATTTAAAAAATACGTGATGATTTTATGTTCAAGGATATTACAGATATATTCGAATAATAATTCGTTAACTTGCGCAATACTCGTTTAACTAAAAGCTCGATATAGACGTGACGGATACAAGAGCGTTTAACTTTTTTTATCTGACAGTTAATGGAGCAACGCTTGATAGTCTTAAAAATATGTCGTATTTCATTTAGAGCAATGATATTTATTTACAAAAAGTATCATGGTAATCCGTTATTATTTTCCGGTCAATAACTTGCTAACCATTTAGCCCAGTTTAAGTTGCTAATCTAGCTACTGCCACGTAATCTTTAGCTTCATATCAGGATGTGACATACGATCTGACATATACATGGGCTCTCTCAATTCTTAAATCATGAAACTCTCAGCATGCCTGTAATTCATATACGCGAGCATAACTATCAAAGCATGTAAGTTACTTTTCAGAAATATTATTGTGCGACTTTTTTTTGCGTAACGAGTAAAAACTCTACTGTACAGTAAAAATTTGCGAAAAAAGATCCTGTGACAAGATAAATTTTAATTTTTAACTTTTTACTGTAAGTTTACATGATCGACCGACACAGTCGTAACATCTGAGTATACTGACAATATAGATATAGATAATATGCACAAGAATTTTTTGATATCTTATTTCTTATTCAAGATCAAAATTTTATTAGCGTAAAGGATCTCACTACTATTGCTCTTACTTCACGTCAAAATTTTTTCATTAAACATTCAAGTTTGTAGAATAACAAATATATGTGTTGAAATAAAAAGTAATGCCAGGCATGCAGATAACATATTTGTAACTAAGTAATGTCTACATGTCACATCCCAATAACATGCAGTGTGATTTTAGAAAGAATAAAAAGAGGGTGAGTTGGTAACTAGACAGCTGACTAACCAGCTTAACTATCATGATTTTTGCTGAGCTGGTTTGCCTCGGAAGGGTTACAGCCAGATCCACTGTTTATAAAGAGACCACCGAGTTTGTTGTATCGTTGGCTAGTGGAGTTGCCTAGCGAGTTTGTGGTGGAGGAGCTGTGATGCAGGTGGATGCCAGACCTCGTAAAGCTTGGAATTTTATCTGCAAAAAAGGTATAAGACACTCTTAATAGTGATGAGTAGGGACTTAAGCATAGTAAGTATCATTTGTCAATATAAGTAACTTTGTAACGTTATATGTCTTTCACTGATAATGGAGATCATGGTACAATTTTTTGATATGGATGCATTGAAAACGGATCTACTGATATCAGCAATTCATCAAAACGTTTAATAATGAGATCTTAATCTAATTTCTTTTAGTGCATTTTAGTACGAGCAATATTTAACAAATTAGCTTACTAATAAAGTTAAATAAGTCACTTTAATAAATATTCAGTGCCATTGATATTTTCATGTGTGATTCTATATAGAATTCAATTTGGTGTTCTATATTAATCGTATATTGTAGAAATCACTATGAAATTTAAATTAAGATTCACAAAGAATCCCATATTGAGATTCAACAAAGTTTAAATAATTTATAGTTTTAGTTTGAATTGAAATTCCCATTTCAAAATTCCTCGTATTTCTCTATTTGTACTTCTGCTTGGCACTTCCAATCCAAAACTCCATTTATCTTTCTAAATGGATTAACGTTTGACTTTGTACGTTTGAAAGGTGAAACTTTTAGAGCCATTGCGTATTCAGTAGAAATCTTACTTAGTTATATATTACTAACTTGAACTTTAGTATCAAATGTCATTCACATGACTTACCTTTTCCTCGGGTATGCCTCAGTCTATCCTGTGAATTGATGATCTTTGGGGCATTTCGTTGGATCATGCACGAGTAGTTGCTGTCGGTACTGTAGCTTGGAGAGCTTGAGCGATTCCGCCGACGGGGGCTCCGACTAGTGCGCGAGCATGTGCTGCTCGATTGGTGGACTGTAGGGTTGAGCTGCTCTGGTGAGTGAATAAACTGTTGTTGATGTTTTTGGGCTGATGTATAATCCATCGTTTCGGCATAAAGGCAGCTTGACTCAGAGCAAGAGCAGCACATGTCAGAGTGACTGTTAGAGTCGCAAGACTTACGATCCCAGTCGTCATTGACAGGCTGATAAAGACCGTTAAGTCCATTTTGGTGGTGACCATAGATTAGTGAGCCACTCTCATATTCATTCTCTTGCATACGATAGGCATCATAGTGGCCAAAGTTTTGAGGAAACGATGGTACTGGAGGTGGGATTGTCTGAGGTGGTAGGCTGGTGTAGCGTGGCTGTTGCTGACTAATTGTCTCGGAGTATCCCCAAGGTGTTGGAGAGCTACTAAAGCCATTAATATTTCCATCAGTCCGTAGAGGTGGCGTCGGTGGACTTTGAAAATTGCAGTCCAAACCATTCTGGCTACTAGTAGTGCGCTTGCCTAGATGTGGGTTAAAGGTTGTGTTTTGTTGTTGATGCTGTTGTTGATGTAAGCGACTTGAGAGCGAACCTGTAACTGCAGCCACGGGTGGTGGATGCTCTGGAGGTGGAGGTAGCATGTCACACCAGTTAGGTAACTGAGTTTGCTGGGACTGTTGACGGCGTGCATTATCTGCAATTTCGTCGTTGTAGACACTGCTGGCGTTGTCACTACTTGGTGAGAGTGTTGACTTGTTATGCTCTTGCGCTGATTCGAGACTCGAGTAGTCAGGTTTGAGACAAGAGTCGCTTGAGCTTGATTTTTGGCCGCTCGTCTCCATCGAATCAGGACTTCGGTTGGCCACGCAGAGAGTTGTTGTAGCGTACGGCTCGGGTGGTGCTGAAGGCTTACGTGTATTGTAAAAAGTTGTCAAGTTCACTTCAGCATACTCAGAGCCAGACATACCGATGATACCAGCTCCTAGCACGTGGTTGTTGAGAAGTTTTGTCTCACATTCCTTGTCAGTACCGTCACCACTTCCACTTCCACTTCCACCAGCCTGTAGAGTATTAGTGGGCCTCCACCCTCTCTCAAGCCACAGGCTATCTTTGTTCAACTGGCATACATCATTTGCTGTTCCGACAGGCACGCTTAAATGTCCGAGTTGCTTACTTAAGAACTGGCGCCGCCTCACGTAATACGCTCCAAGTAGAGCTGCAAACACGCTGAACAGCATTAAGACCAGAAGCACGACGAACCAGGTTTCCCGAAAAAGCGATCTTCTATGGCTCGGATCCAACCGTGGTGGTTGTTGTTGGCTCATCTGTCCAGGATCCATATTCAAAATAGTAGGGTTTGAGAATGGTCCTGGCCCGATGCTGGTCAATCCGGCCACTCGAGCTGTATACAGGCCCCCACTGACCAAGCTGTTTATTATCACTGATGTTGTTGAAGTGTTTAAAGACATCTGACCCAGTATTTTGTTGCTGTTGTTACTTTTTATCTGTATCTACAAAGTTTGGTGTAAGAATGATGTTAGCTTCATGAAATTATTAAATTTATAAACATTTTTTTTAAAACTAATTGTAAAAAAAAAAAATAGATTTGTTAAGTACAATACAGTAAAAAGATATGTTAATATTTTCATAATTTTCAGCCTCATAGCTAAAATAGTTAATGTTTCGTAATAGTTTCAACAGTTAACTCTTGTATATCCTTTAGTCAAGTTTAAGTTTCAAATTTTCTAAAACCTCACTATTTCACTGTAATCCCAAGCTAAATCACACTCATAGTTTGCTGTGTAATATGGTTCTTATATTGTTTTTAAACATTTTTTATAATTTTTAGAAGGTATACTTCCATAGGCACATTCTGTGCGGAAGTCAATCAACGATTCCAGAATTATGACCATGAGAAAACATGTGACAGAAGTGAATTTTTCATTTTACCCCTTGCCCCCTCCTCCTCTATCTGGCAAGCCACGCCTCCCTCTATGCGTCACACCACCAAGTTATGTATATCAAGAAAGTCAATTTTGGTTTTTAAAATTCTTGTTCTTTAACTGATTCTCCTAAAAAAAAACTTCCTACAAGAATCGAATTGAACTGGCGAGCTCCTAATTTACGCTAACCATGTATCATATTCACTTTGCCGCAAGCTATCCCCCCCCCCCCAACACACGCATATACACATATACATAGCCCCGGGGGGCTTGGTAACGCACGCTCACGAGTTCAAGACTCAGCCTTTACTCACTTGGCTCGCACCTCTGAGAATCTAGTTTCTCATGTGCGTGTTCTAACCGTGGTCCGATAGTTTGGAAGCCATCATGTAAAACAAGGTCCCCTTTGCTGTGTGATTGATGTCTCAATTAAATCTGAGGCGGTTCTTCACTGCGTCAATAACGATAGCATATTATATATGCATAGTGACACATCATTTTAGACTCTATTGGGCAGAAATGTCTGTAAAATATGTATAATATAAATATATAGGGAAACCTTTTGCTTCTTGTTATAGTATGGTTGGTAACTTATTTTTAATTTAAATATTCATTTACTATGTGAAGAATGGCTCAAATTACAGCAGATGACAGCAATAAAATAGTTGTTGATGCAGATGATTATACTGTCAAACTTTTTATTTGTTAAAAAACGTTTCAATCCATACAGAAGAAGTTCAAGGTCCTCATCAGATTCAATCCAAATAATTACAATACAATGTTTAAAAACAAAAATTTTTTTTACAAAAAACAATAGCACTAGAGACACTTTTTACTTACAATTGGTGGCACAACAGGCGATGTGAGCACCGCCTAAGACATTCCATCAGGGACTATGAATATAACGTTTTTGAATCGCGCTTTTATGGTATCGAATACTACGTATAGTATTAGTGCGTAAGTGTGCACTACAATGAGTAACACACGCGACTATCCAAAAGTATGAGTCAATGGGACGTATTAACAATTTGGAGTTGTCAATAAAAAATTAATAAAAAGTTGTTCGTATCAAGTATTCTATTTATGTTATCATGAGTAATACGTATATAAAGCATTTCTGAGAACAGTCTTCTGAACTTGGTATTCTCAACGACCAAAACTTTGTGAGGGTTTGTGAAGTTTGTAAGGGTGATGTATTTTTCATTTATTGCACTAATGCTGATTCATTTTAAGAGATTAACTTAAATGATTGATATCGCCTTTGTGTTTATAAGTTCTTGTTTTTAGACTCCTAAAAACTCCTATGTAACAATCTTTGTTATCGTTGGAACTTATTTTGTAAACTATATTATTTTTGTCTTTATCATTCAAAGGTTTTTTTTTTTATTTAATGAATTTTGAGAATTCGTCAATACCTTTAAAAACAACAACCCTTTTGTTCCCACGAAAAATATTCTTAATAACTGAAACAGGGTCTTTAAAAAAGGGCAATACTATTAGTTTAGTATTGTTGTTCTCCCGATCTAGAACTATTTTGTTAGAAGGATTATTTATTTTTAATATTTTTTTTACTCATTCGTTTATTTATTTTTTTTATTCATAGATAAATATTTTAAGAAAGATTAGTAAAAATAAACAATCCTTTTACTAGAGAATCACAACTTCCAGAACTTGCTTCCAGAGCTGTGAACAGTCTTGAAATTTTAACTAGAGCTTAAGGTGGCTTGGACGATTTTTATCAGCTTGATCAAAACCTCAGAAATTCTGGAATTACGTAAATAAAGTATGACAAATTCATTTGCAACAAGATAATACTAGGGTCAACGGCTTAATTTTTTCGCAAATCACTACTAAAAATTCAGCAATTTAACACCTACTCTTATAGACAGAGGTCACAAAATCGACTATACCTTCGGAAATCTTTGATTAATCTCAAAAATTTTAAAAAGATCTTGTGTATTTTTAATAAAGAATCTATTAAATTTTTAAAAATATAGGGTTAACAACTTAACTTAAGAGAAAATCAGAAGGAACGTATGAAATATTAATCTGGCTTGCCTCGCAACATCTCCCAAATTTCACAATTATAATTTCACGGTACTTTACTGGCAATTTCTTGATCTTGTACTTTGGTTTTATCGAAATAACTATGTACGTTGAAAAATTTACCGTTGAAAAGCGTTGATTTTTTAGGGGCCCTTATGGCACCCTACCCTAGATACAGTACCAACTGCCCAAGCCACCTTAATATTCATATACTGTTGATTAATTATTTTCGTTCGATTACAAATTATATCCATTCACTAATTATTCATTTGGTTGAATAACTTTTTTGAAATTTTACAAACATTTTATTAGAAGCAACTATTATGTGTTTTAATAAATGTTTATTTAATTTTAATTCCTAAATAAATAATTGTTTGTTTATATCAAATCCAAACATCTTAATAAAGTCATGCTCTATATCACAAGTATATTACGTGTAATTTATTTTATTAATTTATTTTATTAATTGTTTGTTTAGTTTAAAAAATTAATTTTTCAGAGTTCTCCTTTTTATTATTGACTTATTCATACAAGATTATACGGATAAATTATGACATCTTTGATGCATCCTATTCTTAAAAATGTTTTCATTCGTGAGTAATGTAATTTTGTGAGTTAAGCCACACTTATTGGCATGCAATACCACCCTATTCAAGATAAAGCAGTAACACACAATGTTTTTTCTTAGCCTTTTAGATAAATATATACTGTGGGTATTATATACGTGACTAAGAATGAGTATGTGATCGTATGGGAATGATGCGAGCGTCATATTAGAGATCTAATTAGCGTAGACGGTAGAAAGTTGTTTTGAAATAATCAGAAGATTCGATGAAAGCGCAGTCTTGTATTGACCAGGCTATCAGCATGTCGTGCCATTGCTTTACTTTAAACTTTTGTACTTATATACATAATGTATTAATTATAATTGTTTATTTATTTAATATAAAAACATTTTTTTTAATTACACCCATTTACTGAATACCTTAATTTGAATGGTAATAGCACTATCTTTGACACATTACAGTAGGTTATTTAGAATATCGTTTTATAGAAGGTCTATTTGCGTTTACACATTGTCTGCCATAGAAGTATAACTACATACTTGGGTATTCAAGCAGCTTCCAACCACCGATTTTTCCAAAGATGAAAACAGTGGATCTTTACGAAATTTAATGTGCACTTTGTCAATAATATATTTCTGACGCAAAAGAAATAACAAAAATCATTGGGCCAATTTCGTTTAAACTGCATTTGTAGCTGTTTTTCCGTAAGCGTACGTGTTAAAAGGACTATATTTAAAAATTTAATATTACGAAAATAAAACAGACAAACAGCTTAAAATTTGACTTAGCATATTATAACGGTATCAATACCAAGTTTAAAAATAATTAACCGTAGACAACTGTCTATATACAAAGCCGTTCAGTTAAAGTCTCAACTTATAATCTTACTAGTATATAAAGAAAAATCGCTAAAACCAAAGATGAGTAGAGAAATTGCTAACGCCAACGCTACGGCGTGAGACAACTATTTTCCACTGATCGGGGCGATCCACCGCAGCCAGCCGTCGAACCAAGGCGCACATTTTTCGAGAGTGCGAGACTCGTATCGAAGAGCGTGCGCCTACAAGAAGAGAAGTGGATTTGCGTGGAAATGGGCATATAGGTGCACATTTTGGTGACACGTAGAAGGGGTATACCGAATGTGTGTCTACGAGGAGAGGAGCGGAAATGTCGACTATAGCTATATAGCTGAGAGCGCATAGCCAAAGCAAGCGACGACGGGAGTTTTTCTCTTTTCACTGCAACCGAGTAAGTATATGATATATATATATCTAACTGACTCTTGCTCCCTCGCTCTTATTTAAATGTTATCTATCAATCTTACATTTAATTAAATCGTGGAACTAAATGCTCATAATTATAGGCTCAGAATTTGATATCAAAACATTTTTTTTTTTTTTCGTACGTTAATACTCATTTTGAAATCCAGTATTATTTTGGAAAAATGTTGAGCTTTTTTTCAAGGATAGCACTTCAGCTATAACCACTGGTTTATTATTTTTCCTCATTATAATTGTTATGAACTGTAGGACAAGCCCCGCAGCTTATCGATAAACATATGTGACGTTATAGGATCGATTCCAAATGTCAGCATATTTTTTTTTAACGTGATTCATTATTCTAGTTTATTTTCTTTTTATTTATGTTTTATTGAAATTTATAAATAATCTTACTATTACTTTTCTTCCTGTACATTAAAATAAATATATTTTTAAAACTTATTCTATTACACTAGCGGCCACCCATCTCGGCTTCGCCCGAGACTTACTAAATAAAACACCGTAGTGTGTTGACATGTAATGTGAAACGTTTTCAGTTAGATATTTTACACACATTCCTGACACATTTCAGAACGAACATCTTCTTATCAAAAACATATTTTGTGGAATCCATTTAGTTTATTTGGTCAAATAATAAGCTGTAAAAATTTAAAAAAATATAATTATGCTGAAAAGT